GGTTTAGGAATTAGGATTTAGGGTTTAGGGTTTTGGATTTGCAAATCCCAGAAAGTTGGAACATGGGTTTGGCTAGATCCTATCTCGCCTCCTGCCCAATTTCTAGGTGGACACCGTGGTTACAGCTCTTCATCGCAACATGGACGTGCTCCAGAAGCAGATCCTTGGGCCATATTGTCGAAACTTCATCAGGGGCTTATGTAGTTCTATCGTACAGTATATACTCTGGCTATCAAAGCAACTATTAGGCAACTATGTAGAGGAACCCTTTCAAGGCAAAAGTATATGGCGCCTGGGTACATGGATCCTTTGGACCTATTGTATAATCCGCTTTATGCTTGGAATCCAGATGGTCCAGATACATGTAAACCCTAAACCTTAGACCCTAAACCCTGTAATTCTACTGCGGGTTTGAATCCGGAAAGCCCGCAGCGGTTCACGGTCTCTCGGGGCTACTTCCGCAGAATAGCGTGTGGGATTTGGGGAAGCGGTTTAGGCTTCAGGGCCCTCTGCTGAAGGCTTCGAACTACGGGGTTTCATGGGTTGAGTAGCGATTGTGCCCATGATTTTGGGTTTGGGTATTTTGGGTCTAGTGTTTAGCCCAGGGGGGAATGCACCGAACAGAATCGGCATGTTTCCTTGCTTGGTGGCTTGGCTGCGCTAGGTTTCAGGGACCATCATGGATCTGGCTTTGCGGGATCTGGCTCTGCGGGGAATGCAGAGGAACGCTAGGTGTCTCGGGGAAGGCTTCCCCCCCGAGCCTCGCGTGAACACTCAGAAACCCATTTGTTATCTTCTCTCTTAAGGTTTCCACACCATAGTGCATATCACAGTGGTTTGAGGAATAGTATACACCCACCATGTTGTTTAGGCCCTTTTATATCTCAGCGTAAAGCCGCAAACAACTATGAGATTCCCTAGATTGGGCCTTTGCCTTTCGTTGCAAAGGAAGTCCCTTGTTGTCGAGAACATGAAAGCGCTCTACAAGGTCCTTGGCACGGCTTGCTCATTCAAAGGGTCCTAAGTACCTATATGGGGGATACTTGCCCAAACCATAGCAGAAATTCCTATTATAGAAACCATCTATTCTATGATATGAGTACTTAGGACCCTTTGGGTTACAGCATGACGCAACAAGTAGGTTTGAAGTAGGGTTTGAAGTATGCACTAAAGTAATTATTCTAATTGGGGTTATCCTGCTGTAACTGTAAAGCCCAACGATAACTCACTTGTTGAGTCCCCCGATCCTCTATGGTTTAGGCCGCAGGCTTGCGGGTTTAGGGCCCAATGCCGTTGAAATAGAGAGGAACAGGTGGACATAGCATTGAAGTGTTCAGGAACCATCTTTCATATCTGAGGGATATGTCTTATCTAGATATTCTGCCCTGGCCGCCCTTTCAGCCGTTCGATGGGGGGAGTGTGGGACGGAGATTTTATGTTTCAGGGTTTAGGTTTTGTCAGTCTTGTCACGTCAGTGGTAGGGGGTCTTATTTCTTGAGGCAGTTGCGCACATCTTGCGGAGCCACCACGCCTTCGTGAGCTTGATGGAGTCCCATGTACGGAGGGGAGAGCGATGGCGTAAGGAACAGCGTCTGGAATAATGGCAAGGAACCTACCGCGCGGCGCCCTGTAGTTAGATGCATGTGGGCCAGGATTTCTTGCAAGAGCACAAGCTCCATATATGCAACTGTCATCCTCGAGATGCATAAGAGATCAACCGGAAAACCTACCTTAAACTCTAAACCTTTAGCGAATCTCTACACGACATTCCTAACCATGCAGTACGGACAAGGCGTTATAAGGAAAAGTAACGATTCTCTGCTGCTGAGTGCAGCAGAAGGCAGTCAACGACGTGAATGCCTCCCTCACCCATGCAGCAGAGGTCCTGAGGACCAGCGAGCAAGAAGAAGTGAGGTTTAGGACTAGGATTAATAGAGGGGCCTAAATAATTACCTGTACTATTTCGGGGGGCTCCTTCTTATAATTCTAGTATAATATACTCCAAAAACTTGCTGGAGGGACGAAATGGGGTGTCAACAAAAAGAACAGTAACAAAAAAACCCAAACCAAAGCCCAAAACCCTAAACCCTAAACCCTGTTCTACTCAGTAAGGCCCCTACATGTTTTGACTTTGGTTCGACTGGCCCTACTTCAAAAAGCTAGAGGCTGTGCTTGGGATTGATCTTTTGTTTAGGGTTTAGGGTTTGAATAATTGTCTTCGTGTCTCCTATACTCCAGCTTCACAGTTCTGGATTCTTGAGATTTACCATGATCCTCAACCCTAAACCGCAGCTGGACGGTGTTGTTTCCTTTCCATCTGTTAATTTGCGAAGTAAGCTTTAGCTTCAAATTGCCATAAAGGTGCATTGCTAAGTCTAGGCAGCTCAAAGTGGCGAGTCCAAACCCCTTTTCCACACATGCCTAGACCCTGAATTGGGCCATGTTCTGGTTACCGTAATTTCCGATAACAATAGGACCCTAGCCAACAATTGGCTTCCCCAAGCAAAAAGTAGTGCAATTCAGGGGTAAAGAAGCGCACGATATGGGTAGTTCTCTAAATGAGGGTCCCTTTCTCGGCCCCCAAATTAGTACGGCACCCTGGTGAAAAGGACCCTAAAAGGGACACCCTAATTTGGAGAACTACCCATATGGCAACTATATAGCCAAAACCCAGGACCTTCACCTGAAGACCTTGTTGCGCCATGCCTTCAGCCACACCCCTAACCCTTACTCATCTGCGACATTCCCTAACCCTCCAGGTACCTAGTATATAGGGCCCTATAAGCTAGTACCCTCTATAGCAGGTAGCTGGAGGGTTAGGGGACATTGCTGAGCTTCCAGCTTCTAGACATCAGCCCAATGGTTCAATGCTGCCCGATGCCCGATGCTGCAAGAAACAGCGCCTGACCCCTGAACCCTAAATCGCATGCCTAATCTTTAAACCCTATAAGCCCTACCTGGACCCCAAAAGTATGTAAATGTAAAGGAATAGCCTTTGATGGGTCTCGGGCCATTATTTTTCCTACTTCTGGGGAGGTTTACCCATAGGCTCCATAGTAGTTCCTTCTTGGGATTACCTAATAGGATCCTAACTATAAGCCACAAGAAGGAACTACTCTGGGGCCTATGGGTAGATCCCTAAACCCGAAATCTGACTGCCCGATCCAGAACCGTAAACCCTAAACCCTAAACCCTAAACGACCTTGTCAGGATTCCGTCGCACGGTTTCCTTGTATGAGTCTTTGACAAAGAGGCTTTAGGGTTCAGGGTTTGAGAGTCTTTGGTGGTGTTCTGGTAGACCTCCCGATGAACCCTAAACCCCTGAACTTCAACCCTAAACCCTAAACCCTACACCCTAAACCCTAAACCCTAAACCCTAAACCCCTGAACTTAAACCCTCATCTAAAGCCGAAGCGGTTTGTAGAAATCCGTCATGGCCCTTACGGGACCCTCGACTCTCTGCCCCCCAAATCCTGTTCTAAGCCCTAAACCCCTAAACCCCTAAACCCTAAACCTACAAACCTACAACCCTAAAACCCTAAACCTAAACCCCTAAACCCCTAAACCCCTAAACCCTAAACCCCTATAACCCCTAAACCCCTAAACCCTACAGAAAGCCACTCCTGCGGAGGAAGGGCGAAGGATCCGAAACTGCCTCATCCATCCTCGCTGCAGCCGGTTCTGCACCTCGGCGCAGCTGTGGTGTAATACAGGGGCCTAAATAATCACTAGCAGCACTATTTTGGGGGTTCCTTAGTCTTATAATTTTAGTATAATATACCCCAAAACCCTAGTCTTATTTTCAGGCCCCTATATTAGAGTTTAGGGCTTATATAAGGTCCTAGGATGCAGGGCTTAGGGTTGTAGGGTGTGGGGCGTGCCACTTAAGGTCGAGGGCGGGGAGTTGAGGTTCCTCGGGCACATAGGGTAATAGTGTAGCTAGGGTTTAGGGTTTAGGGGTTTAGAGTGTAGGGTCTAAGGCCCTGTGGTACAGGTTTCAAGATGGTTTAATGTTGGGGTTTAGGGTTTAGGGCTTAGGAAGGGGTCAGGGTGCGGTGTTTAAGGTCCAAGGGTGTAGGGTATAAGGGTTTGGCGTGAAAGGGTTGTAAGTAAGGTCCTCGGGTGCAGGGTTTGCGCATAAAGGAAGGCTGCTTCTGGTTTTCTCTCAATCTAGCTGTAGGGCTTCAACTTGTTTTCCTTAAGAGTTAAGGAAAAGATGACCCTTCACGGTAGGGGCCCTATTTGCCAACGGTAGGTTTGAGGTTCAGGGTTTAGGTCTGGGGTTTAGGGTTCCTAGGCCCAAAACCCTTACCCGGCAAGGTGCCCGACACGTCGGCTCCTTGGGCACCGGCGGTCTTGGAGTTGCGGGAGAAGCTGGTGCTTCTCCTGGGCGCAGCTCAGAGCGGTGCTTCGGAAGCTTGGCTATCGTTGTATTATGTTTCGGTTTTTTTTTAGGATTTAGGGGGTTTAGGGGGTTAAGGAGTTGGGGTTCAGGGAAGATGATTCATGACTTAGGCTTTAGAGTGTTCCGGGTGAAGCCATCAGGTCTTTTGACTGAGGATGTAATTAGGGAAGGTGTCAGGATCATTTCGACGTACGAACCCTTTAACTGTGGCGCCTGCCTGTTTGAGATTGATGGGTATCTTATCCGACGGATAGCCGGATAGGTCATGTTCTGCGTAGGATCAGTGCATCATAGGAGCACGAGGTACAAATCGGACAACACATGAGGGTGCAGGTGGCAGTTTGGGCCGTGATGCCAAGAATGCAACAAAAAACTGGCGTTCTTCTAAGCCTTCTTGGTCTGTCTTCAGGTCGGGTTAGTCGCTGAATCGTTGGGGGAAAATTCTGGATCCGCTGATACCCAGCAACTGAGTTCTGCATCCTAAACCCCAGCTTCCCTCCTCCCCTCCATACATACACGAAAGAGAGAGAAGCCACCAGAAACCCCAAACCCAAAAACTTAAACCCTACAAACTCTACATCCCAAACTGAAACTGCAAACCCCAAACCCGCAAGTCTAAACTCTACCTTAAGAACCCCAAACCCACTTTTTTGTAGGTTCTTGTTATAAACCCTAATATGCGATTTATAGGGACCCCGCAAAAAAGTAGGTTTTGGGTTCTTAAGTGGATCCCAAACCAGCAGAGGAGGGAGGCTGAGCTGTCCGGGCACCGAGATCTTGTGGTAGCAGGGCCTCGCTGACGTGCTGAAGGAGATCAAGATGTACCTTCGAGGCTGGGTACTGTGTGTGTGTGTTTGTTTCTGTGGGTTTGATGGAGTTTTCAAGCGGTTTCAATATCGTTTTATCAGGGTTTCATAGGGTTTAGAACGTCTTTACACAGGTTTAATACGGTTTAGAGATTAGGGCTTAGCGCTTTAGGCTTCGGGGTGTGAGTTTTAGGGCTTCCGGCGTTGATCGTCCTGCGTCGTCGATATTGTTATATGCTTCTGTCGTATGGTTGTTTCTCTTTCCTTGCCTTTTATCATGATGACCTTCAAGCCCACAACCTTAAACAAACCCTAAACCCTAAACCCTAAGCCCACAACCTGATTGAAACCCGTACAACTGCCTACCTAAGTGGGCTCCTCTCCGCAGAGGTTGACACGAACTAAGCTCGAAACTGTGCGGAAGGCTGTTAGGGTTTAGGGTTTAGGGGTTTAGGGTTTAGGGTTTATAGTGTCCCTTACGTCTGCGAGGCTTCCGGATTTCCGCGGGGCGGACGGAGCACGACGAAGCCCGGGCACGGCGGACGGCCAAGAGAAGAGCCGTAGAGCTGGTGGCGAGAGTCTTGCAGGGTCTGAAAGTGACCAGAAACCCCTGAACCCTAGACCCTAAAACTCTGACCCCCTAAACCCCTGAAACCTAAACCCAAAATCCTAAAGCCCTGAACCTCTAACCCTTTGTAAGCCCTAAATCTCAACCCCTAACATTTCAGCCCTGACCCTGATAAACCCCCAGCCCCTAATTCTAAATCTGAAACCCCTAAACTGAAAACCCTAGGGTTGATGATCGAAATCTTGCAGTACCCATAATAAGGAATATATACCATAATTCCCACAGTTTAGCGTCCTTTAGGTAACGCAGGACTTTCTATCATCAACATAGACCCTGAGAAGTTAAGGAATTGGAGATATCGGTGCCCAGGGGTTAAGGGTTGCATGTAGGTTATAATACAGGGTTGAAATAGGGTTTAGGGTTTAGGGTTTGGGTTTTAGGGTTTAGGGTTTAGGATTTAGGGTTTTGGTTTTAGGGTTTAGGGTTTAGGGTTTAGGGTTGCTTTGGGGGGCGTTGCAGGTCTGAGGATGACCCTGACATGTTCAGGAACTAGGGGTTTAAGGTTTAGGGTCCAGCCTGGGTTTAGGGTTTAGGGTTTGGAAGCTTTGGGAATTTTGTCGTTTAGGGTTGGGGTTTAGAGGTTTTAGCAGGTGGTATGTTTACATTGTTTTGTGTGTTGACCCTAACTTGGTTCGTTTTGGGTGCGGGTTGGGTAGGGTTTCAAAGGCGACGAGAGTTATTCAATTGGGAGTTTCCGAAAATAGGGGTACCTTATTTTGGGGTCCTTATAATAAGGATCCTACTATTTAGGGTACTATATTAGGGTCCCCTATTTTTGGAATCCCCCAATTGGAATCCAATGCATGCGTGGCGGGTTGTGGATTAGGTAAACCCTCCCGGATACCGCAAGGGACCAGTGCTTAAATTGTGGATGTTAGTGCCTACTACTTCTCGCTGCGGGATCGCTACTGCAAGGGGAATTGACACAACTTTTGAAGCGAGAAGCAGTATCTCTCTCAAGCTTCAAGTCGGATCTATATCATCTTGAGTGGGCTTATCGTGTGGCAGGTCCCTGGTTCGTCGTAAACGCGCATAAAACCGCGACCTCAGTACACCGAACTCAACAAGAAGCGTTGTCACACCAACCGGCGATAGCGGAGGGAGGAAGTGTGGGCTTCTTGGCTTGCAGTTAAGGGTCTGTAACACTCTTCGGATGTTTAGGGGCTTTGGGGTTCAGGGGTTCAGGGCTCAGGTTTTCTCTAAACCCTAAACCCTAAACCCTATACCCTATACCCAAAACCTAAACCATATACCCAAAACCTAAACCCTATTCGGGTTTCTGTCCTACCTCGACGGCTTTCCCAAAGTGGGAGCCCGTGCTGGTTCATGCCTCCAAAGCCGGCCGAACGCTGCATCAAAAAGGCGTTCCCAAGGAGAGTTGAGGGTTTACCCATAGGCCCCATAGTAGTTCCTTTCTGTGGCTTATATGTAGGATCCTATTCGGTAATCCCAAAAAAGAACTACTATGGGGCCCATGGGTAGAGTTTAGACGTGAGTCTCTTATTTCGACCTCCATGCTGCAACGGCGAGGACTTCCACAACGACTCGGACGACTATTTTAATACCGTTGTGCTGTAGCGTGGGCATCCTCAACAGGGCTGTTATTGTCGTTCTTGTCGGTGCAGTCACGAAACTGAACATGTGGTGGGCGTGTTGCTTCTGCATGTTGCATGTAGTTCAGCACTTACTCGTTTTCCGAACATCGTCCTTCTTGTGGTAAAGGGTTGATGCAACAGGGATCTACAGTATATTCTACTGCTTTAAAGTCGGGTATCTTGCAGGGTTCCCCCAAGATTCCACTTCTGTAGTGGTCCACGTGCCCGTGCAGTATATGCGTAGGCCTTAACGTGCCTACATAGGAGCCCCTTTTAAGGTTTTTGTTTCTTGGGGCTGGGGGTTTCACACCAAAGTGTTCAAGACTGTACAGATAAGATACATGGACCCTGAGGGTATGCGTGGTGGCCCTGTGCTGGAAAAGCCCGAAGCCAACGACCCCCACCTTCAAAACAAAAATGGCAGCCGAGAGATTCGGCGGGGGCAGGGTTGTTTAGGTGTTAGGGCTTAGGGAAACACAAGCAGTCTAGAGAGACTGAAGTTCGAAGCCCGACTCCTGAAACGTGTACAGTACTTGTCGTTTTCTGCTCATCAGCACCAGGTTCAGGGTAGGGTTCAGGGTTTAGGGATTTAGGGTTCAGGGTTTATGGGGTCTTGCGAACAAGTCGAAACCCCAAACCCTAAACCCTAAACCCTAAACCCTAGCCCTAAACCCCAAACCGCAAAACCTGCAGGACATGAACGCCATGCGTTTCGCAGAGCTCCAACAGGCGGATTTCTTTCGTCTTAATCTGATAGTAGAAGCCCAAAAGTTAAAAACCCAATAGCCTCAATCCTTCAGAGTATTTACTTTATAGGGAATCCCAGCACTAGCTGTCCTGAATCCGGTTTCCAACTTTTGGGGGTTTACTATAGTGGCTGAGTAGGGAGTAGGTAACCTTTAGCCTTTTGGGCCTTATCTACTACGATATTTGTAACAGGCTAGCCTTTTTGGGGGCCAGGGTACTCAGCCCCTAAGTAATCATGAGAAGAGCTCGGGCTGTGCAGGAATCCTAACTCCCAAAGGGGGCCCATTTAAGGACCTATCTCACATGGGCTTATTTAAGGACCTATGTGGGGGATACCTACCCAAGCCATAATAAGAGTGCCTACCATAGGAACCCTACTCTCTACTATGTAGGTACTTAGGACTCGGGATCAGCGCGCTCAGCAGGGATCTGATTCGTTTGGGGAATTTAGAACCCAAGGCCTGGGGTTTAGAGTTTAGGGCCTTTAGAGGTTTTGGGGTTTAGGGCCTTTAGGGGTTTTAGGGTTGAGGGCCTTTAGGGCCTTTAGGGGTTTATGGTTCAGGGTATTGGGTCTAGATCTGTTTTCCGCCGTAGGAGGGCGTTTGGCACACTCACGGTCGCAACTCGAAACCGACATGTGGTAAGCCCGGATGATGAGACATAGAGACTACTGAGGCACTTTGAAACAGGGACACAGGGTGCATGCACGTTTTGGGATTGAAACCAGAAGTGTATTTCAAGACACCACAGTGTAGCAGAATGGCAGCATGCACTTCTGTACATCCCTGGATAGCAGAGTGTTATTCGATGCTTTGATCTGTGCCCTTACATGCGAGACTTGAAGCACGTAAAGCAAGGTCGCACACACACACACACACACACACTTACCAGGTCAATTAGCACCGAATAACGCAGCTTCCTGCAGAAAACCGAACCACCGAACACGAACATCGGAGTCGTAAGCCCAACCAGGACCCTCAGGTGCCCTTTGCTAGAGCCCTGTCATGGTCCAAAATCGCGAGCATTCGGGATTTTTGGTGTATGCTGGACCCGACGGAGGGTAGTGTCGGCTAATGCTGTGGAGATCCGGCATCCATAGCCAAAGACAAGAAACTGAGGAGGAATCTAAAATCCAAAGCCCTACCGCCCTATAGATCCAAAACCCCAAACTCCTCAATCGTGAAGCCTTACACTAATCACTAATCGTTTATAAAAGTTGTATAATATCCAAAACCCCTAAACTCCTCAACCGTAAAGCCTTATAACTGTTTATAGGGCACCCTAAACCCTAAGGCCTAAACCCTAAATCCTAAACCCTAAACCCTCCATTATAGGGTTCAGAAATCCTTGAAAACCTCCATGAAATTCTTCAACCCTAGAGGTTTAGGGCGTCGAACACCGGAAGCGCTCCCAAAGCCTGAAAATTAAGCGTTTAGGGTTTACAGTTTAGGGTTCAGGGTTTATGGTTTAAGGTTTAGGGTTTACGGTTTATGGCCTGTGGTTTAGAGTTTAGGTTTTACGGTTTAAGGTTTAGGGTTCAGGGTTTAGGGGTTACAGTTTAGGGTTTAGGGTTTACCCTGAACCCATCAAGAAGCCCAGGAGGTGCAGCAAGTGCAACAGGCCTTGGCAGAGGTAGAGCAAGAGGAGGCGATCGCCTTGTCCCGCCCGGCGAGCTTCCCTTGGGTTTAGGGTTTAGGGTTTAGGGTTTAGGGTAGGGATTAAAGCAGGGGCCTTAATGTTAAAATAGGGTTTTGGGGGGTTTCCTTACTATAACATACCCCCAGACCCTATTCTAATTATGCAGACCCCTATATTAGGGCTTAGGGTTTAAAGAGTGCTTTGGTTTCAGGGCTTCGGGCATGGAAGGGAGGGCTTCAGTTGGTTTTTTGGGTTTAGGGTTTAGGGTTTAGGGTTTAGGGTTTAGGGTTTAGTGGGCAGCTTCGATATGATTCCAGCTCATCTTAGTTTTTTGGGGGTTTGC